ACACACACACACACACACACAACACACACACACACACACACACACACACACACACCACACACACACACACACACACACACACATGTTAGGAAGTATTTCTTCAGTCATAGAGTAGTCAAACCGTGGAATAGCCTAGAAAGTGAAGTAGTGGAGGCGGGAACCATACATAGTTTTAAGGCGAGGTATGATAAAGCTCATGGAGCAGGGAGAGAGAGGACCTAGTAGCAATCAGTGAAGAGGCGGGGCCAGGAGCTATGAATCGACCCCTGCAACCACAAATAGGTGAGTACAAATAGGTGAGTACACACACACACACACACACACACACACACAGCCCAGAACTGTGACTCGATCCCTGCAACCACATGTAGGTGAGTAAAGGTGAGTAGAGATAACTAGGGGACATGGTAGGCAGTTAAAGACGCAGATGAAGAGAAAGGCTGCATTTGCTCACAACAAATTGCATGGCCGGTCAAATGAATGGAAAATTTAATTCGGCTTGAGCAAATGTAAAGTTATGAAAATTGTAGAAGGAAAAAAAGTTCGACAGCTGAGTCTATAAAGGCCAATTTCATCTAAACTACCTATTTAGCAAATGCTAAAGACTCATTCATGACCCTGTATACGACATAGGTTAGGCTTATCTTAGAGTATGTAGCACCAGCTTAATACTCACACTCATAAATCCTTTCAAGAAATGGAGATGAAGCAGAGATTTGCGATGCGTGTATTGTCCTGCACCTAACTAGAATAAACTCTGAGGAATACTAAAGGAAATGAACACAATAATGAAATGTCGAGCCTTCATTTTTACTATTTTTTACGAAACACACTGTTGATAATATTCTCCACTTTTAAGGAAACAACTTGGTTCAATAGCAGAGTGGCCTACCAATTTCTTAACCTCGAATCATAATGATTATATAGTTATTTGTTGCTGCTTTCATGTTTTCTTTCAGTAGTGAGAATTTTCACAGAAGAGTGACTGTAATATGAGCAGCGCTCTCATCACCTGGACTTCCTTGACAATAATATATTACTTAAACTGCTGATGTTTGGGGAGATGAATGGAGATGTCTGACACTTTATTGGTAAAAATACACTATCTAGTGCATAGTATTAAATTTAAAACTGAATGGGAGAGAAATGACAGGTTACTCTTCCTGGATATACTTAAAAACAGAAAGCATCCATTTAATGATTCTCATAAATTTACTCATTCATCTAGAATCTAAAGTAAGAGAAGAGTAATCTCCATATTGTTTATACTTTCTCTCGGACTGCTTCAACAATATTTAGAATAAGAAACCGGAAATATTACTGAAAGCCTCAGATAACTGTGAATAGCTTCTGTGATATGAAAATAAATGTTATCTAAACAAATGTAATCTATTCAGTTGTTTCTTTAGTGAATAAATTATTTTGCTTAATCGTAGTAACTTAAAATATAGAGGATACTGGGCTTTGCTGAACTATGTGCTTAGGTCCTTGTGGACGTTCTTGTGAAATCTGAGTTTTGGCCAATACTCCGGTTTTAGGTAAAGAACTAATGTTCTTGTTTGAGTGTCGTGGCTGTAAGTGTTAATTGTCGTGCACTGTTACTTGTGCGTATGACACTTACCAAGTGCTGAAGAGCATAGGTTCTCGTTCCATCCCCTCGAATCTCTTATTTCACCACTTTCTCTCTTCCCTTCCATGCTCTTCCTCAGCCTCCACCTCCCTCTATCACCCTCCACCCTCATCCCATTCACCTCCCTCTTCGTAATCTGCCTTTGAAATCCAGCAACAGCCCCTCGATATATTCCGAGATAAAATTCCTACAACGTTTCCATATATAATATCCCCCTCTTCCTCCCTCTTTCATCTAGACCACTACATTATAGAGATTTATGCTGATATGAGCTCATAGAAATGCCTTCACCGATATTAGGTTAAACCATATTTTGGCTCAGATGTAAAACTGCATTACCTAATGGCGAGAAAAGTTAAGTTCTCTTATTGTTGTTGTTGTTGCTGTTATTATTATTATCACTATTATTATTATTATTATTATTATTATTATTATTATTATTATTATTATTATTATTATTATTATTATTATTATTATTATCATCATCATCATTATTATTTTCATCATCTAGTTGAAAAAGAAATTAGGTATCATCGAAAGATTACCTTTCAGTGGTTGCATGATTTTTTTTAATCCATCGTTCTTTTCGGTTTTATTTCGCTCATAACTCGAGAGTCCCTCATCTGGTCTGACTCAAATTTTGAATGTTGAGTAAGGTACCGAGGACCAGAGTTTTAAGAATGACTCACATATTCACTTGTCGTATGGCCAAAGTTATTGACCCCATTCCCTGCGTCCTGGAATGAATCAGATAACTTCCAAAGTCCTCAGCAACGTAGCTTCAAATGTTTACAAAGGTGCTTCCTAATTCGACACAATTTTAATCATCAGGTCTTCCTCTTCTGAAGGGCTTCAATATTTAATGGCTGATTTATCTTACGCCAAGATAGTGCCCATTCGGTTTAGTTTTTGTGTGGGCCAGTTTGTCAATGCAATAAATATATTTTAAGAAAAAAAGAAAAAGACACAATACCGTGACTGGAACGATGCACAAATAACCCGCACATAGGAGAGAGAAAAGCTGATGACAACGTTTCGGTCGACTTGGACCATTCACAAGCCATACTGACAAGAGAATGAGTAAGCTAGTATATTTAGGAGAGAAGGACAGGGATGAGAGAAAGAGATGAAGAAAAAGTAGTGGTAGTGGTAAGTCTGGTAGTGGAAACAGTTGTAGTAAAAAGTACGGGAAGTAGTTTCCTTGCCACACGAGATACCACTACCCCTGCTTCTTCCACTATTTCTCCCGTCCCTGTCCTCCTCTCCTATATATATATATATATATATATATATATATATATATATATATATATATATATATATATATATATATATATATATATATATAGGAAGAACTGCGGCTGGCCAGGACTCGACCCTGCGTTTCCATGCCCAGCCCTGTGAAAACAGAACAAAGTACACATCACTCTAGCCACTGGATCACAAATTCTCAGAGACCAGGCGCTCAGCAACACTGAGCGTGTTTTCACTGGTGCGGGAACATACGCGGTGTTTGAGAATTTGTGGCCCAGTAGGTAGGGTAATACGTACCGTGTTCTGTTTTCACAGGGCTGGGCATGAGAACGCATAATCGAGTAATGGCTAGCCGCAGTTCTGTTAATGATTCAAAATCACTTGTTTCGTAATTTCATATATATATATACATGGATATATCATTTTTTCTTTGTTGATTTTATAGAATTTTAAAAGTAAAAAAAAAACGCAAAAAGAAAATTAAAAAAATATTGAAATCTTTAGTTTTTATACTGTTTTTAAATTTCTTGAGTTGAAGTACCCTTAAATGCTGCTGCAGTTTTCTCATTCCATTTATACCTTAAGAACGCCTTATCCAATAACTTTCAAATTTCAAGCCGTGGTCAGCTGTTACTAGGTGAAGGTTTGAAGAGGAGTTGACACACACAGGTCCTATCTGCTCAATTTTATGTGGACCATTCCCGAAATTGATTTCTACGAGATTGCCTAAGAATTCTTTCTTGATCAGCTTCACAATTTCAGGTACTGCTGAGTCATCAACTTGTATTGATATTGGTTATAGATTCATATATATATATATATATATAATATATAATATATATATATATATATATATATATATATATATATATATATATATATATATATATATATATATATATATATATATATCAATAACACCGGGGCATCGAAACCGTGTTGTTTTAGCTCGTCTCATGGTGAGCGAAAATTTCACGATGCTCTAACCCACAGGACCATACAATCCTACAAGAATCACGCACTCAGCAGAGCTAGGTGTTGTACCGTAATCCGAGGACATACGATGATGTGGGTGCCTCAGAGCTAATTTCATTCTACTCCCCGTTTGGTATACTAACCTCCACAAGCCTACAATACGATATATACTGCTTGTGGAGGCTAGTACACCAAACGGGGAGTAGGATGAAATTAGCTCTGAGGCACCCACACTGTCGTATGTCCTCGGATCACGGTACAACACCTAGGTTTGCTGGGTGCATGATTCTTGTTGGATTGTATGGTTTCATGGGTTAGAGCGTCGTGTATTTTCGCTCACCATGAGGTGGGCTAAAACAACACGGGTTCGATCCTCCGGCTAGTCCTTTTTTATGGGTTTGAGGTGGGGGGCTCTTAACTTGCCCTCATGTTTGAGAGTAGTGTGTGGTATAAATATTATGCAAAGAATTTGGAGCGTAAAAATTAGAAGACGGTGTGCAGTTAGGAAGAGTACAATTCAGAGAGCAGAGTTGTTGGGATGGTTAGGTTGTTTTGAGGAGTACAGCTGTATGACAAATAGAGGGCATATATCTGGAGAGGAAGGAAAGAGGGGTTGAAGTCTACCGAGAAAGGGTTGTAGAGTGAAGAGGTGGGAAGTTTTAAAGGTTGGGGTTTGAGTATACAGTAAGCATGTATGAGCGTGTTAGAATGGAGCAAGTGAAGGTACTGTTGAAGTGTGAGCAATGCAACATTTATGAAAAAATCAAGGAAACCAGTTAGCTAGACTGTAGTCCCGGAAGGAAGAGATACAGTGCCTACACTCTGAAGGAGGATTAGGGATGTGGCAGTTCGGAGTGTCTCTTGAACTGATGCCTGAGTAATTCTGACGAGGCAGCTATTGAAAGAATGGCGGCGAATACTTAGTATTTTTTTTTTTGGGGGGGGAAGGGGGTTCACCCTATCCTTGTTTTAGTGCCATTGTGTTAGAAATTGACGTATTCAATTTACGACAAACCAATAAAATTGCTATCATATCGTGCCAATCCATCAGCATAATGCACAGTGATGGAACACTGAAAGATCTTTCATGATGAACGAATCCTTTATATGAGCATTTCATTAAGGAAAATAAGAAAATCAATGCTGCTAACCATTATTTAATTTCTTTGTTCATCTCTAGATGGTCTGAGTGAAAATGTAAACATATTGCAAGCAAACTGCATCACTGAAGTATCTTCATTAATTAGTTTCATGGGAGAGGAGAGCGTCGTCTAACTGATCTCTACCATAGCTGCCAGAGCTCCACTGAAGGCGGCGTTGTAATCACAAGCAACCTCGTTATGCTGGTAATCTGTGCGGACGTCGGTGTAGCCGTCACCCTGCAAACAGAACGTTTTTTTGGTTAGTGAATATTGACTGAAGTACTTACATCAGAGAACAATTACATTTACAGACTAAAAATAACAATTGCATTTGAGAAATCTGCTTACGGATAAAACTAAAGTGTGAAAACATATGTACTGAATTAGAACTACCTAAAATAACTGGATTTTATTTATGCAATGTTCCCTCTTGTTGATTTTTTTATAATGTTATCTTATTTTATCACAACGTAGTTGTTCGTGATGATGTATAAATTTGTGTTTTTTATGCTATATTTCTAGTTATGCTGTTTTAATATAGGTAAAAAAACATCGTATTAGCTATGAGGATCACACTTCAATTTTTCTCTAAAGCTCATCTGTTTTTTTTTTATACACAAGGACAGCTATAA